AAATTTTACACTCGTACTTCTTCTCCAAAGAATGAGATCTGAAATTATTTTTAAAATATGAATAAAAAAAAACATTTCTCTAATTGTGACAAACCTACTGCATATGAGATCGTAGTAATGCAACGCTGGTGAATCTTTTGCCACACTCGCTGCACACGCACATTTTCTGCGGTGGTTTGCGCGTAGTTTTTTTCGGTGGTGTATATTTTCGTCGTGATTGTCCAAATCTATTTGGCAGATGCCGTTTTTTGTGTAATTTCAAATGAACTTCCGTCTTGAATTTGTTATGACAGACATCGCAAGCAAATTCACGTGACGCAATGTGAACGGATTGATGCTGCCTTAAAATCGACAATTGTGAAAATGTTTTTTGACATGTTGTGCATGTATGTTGTCTTTCCTGTCGATGAAAAACCCGAATGTGACCTAAAAGTCATCGTAAACTATTAGAGAAAAAAAGATTGACAGTATTTGCAAAGACTTACGATCCAAGTTGCTTTGGCTTGTGTACCGTTTTTGGCACATCGAGCATTCATAGTTTTTTGTGCCGGAGTGTGTTTTATGGTGTGCATTCAAGAGATATCGTTTGGCAAACCATTTATTACAAAGCAAGCACTGATACCGATTTTTGCCGTGTGTTTTTTTATGCTTATTGTACTCGGAATGGATGTCAAATGTTTCACCGCACGTATCACATTTGAATGGTATTTTCACATTTGGTGATGATGCATTGTCCGATTTCACGCTGAACATATCCTGGTCGCCATCCGATTCTTTGGCACTCGGCATTGAACCAACACTATCGAATTTTTCAGTTTCCACAGTTTTTTGACTGATTTCCATTGCATTTGATTCGACATCATTGTTTGATGCTTCAAATTGTTGATTTGCCACCGATGATACAAACTGATTGCCATTGGCAACTTGATCGCACTCAACATTCTGATCTAAGTACACTATCTCTTCCATAAATTGTTCTTCCTCTTCTTCTTCGCCGCCGTCCTCTTCGATTATCGCTTCACCATCATCCATTGCAAGTAACTCGGAACTGTATCCAAAGCTACTTTCATCGTCACTGTCAAAAAAACTCGACGATACTACTTCTTTATGTGCCACTGACGCCGATTTCATTTGTGTATGCAGTGATTTTGTAATCGCTTCTCGCAATTTTTGTTCCATGTATTCGCACTGAATCTTAAAATTGTACGCCAAATTGAGTTTTTGTATGCAATTCTTACAAATGTATTTCGGTAATAGGTCATCATGTTCGATCTAGTGAGGCGAAAATTGTGGTTAAATACGAAAATACGCTCAATGGTATCTATGATACTTACAGTTACATCGGCACACGCTCGTAATTTCTTAACAATCGTTTTATTATCTGCATCAAGCAGAAAATGTAGATCGTTTGATCGTTGATTACAACAAATTCGGCAAAGTTTTGATGAATGTATTGTGTCCATGGCGACTGTAGTTTCTATTTTCGTTCTAATGTTTTGTCTACGATCGAGTCGTTCATGTAAATCATGTCGACTTGTTTGAAACACAACAATAATCGGATGTTCTTGTTGTTATTCTGTCATTCCAATGCACACACACAGACGCACACATGCAAGTGTTGTCAAATGTTGTGTCTGTGAGCGAATGGTGTGCCCGATGCGATGCGAATGATTCGCTGTTCGGTCGGTGTTTAGTTTTGACATACGCTCAATGTTATTGTTTCATTCTGTTGTCGTATGAATTGAGCTAGTTTAACTAGTCTGAGAACACACATCTCATAATAATAGCGATAAAAATCAAGTTGCGTATTTTTAGTTAACTATTATCGTTGTCCATTCATATATAAAGTTCCTGGTGTTTGATTTGCCGATTCAGTCGTTTATTATTCTTCAGATTGATAAATTGGTAAGTGCCAGTCCGCCGCCCATTCCAAAATCCAAGTCAAACCGAGAGAAGGTCACCGAATATATCAAAAGTGAAAGTGGTTGCATTCGTTTTCGTTGCTTTTCTTTTGTCGATTCGCATGTAATTGATAAATTTTATCATCAGAGTATATTTAGTCGGTGTTTAAAATTCGCAGTGAAGCGCATGTTTTCGTTGTTGTGAAAACAATCAATTTTTTTTTATTGATAACAAAAAATTGTGTGAAGTAGTAAATCAGTGTGATTCATTGAAAGTATTTATCAGATAATTGAGTTTATTAATAAAACTAACCGAAAGCGACCTGTTGTGTTGATCAATTTGTGTGATTTTTTGGACTACATCCAAATACTTGAACTTTGTTCGCTAATCATAATTGCAGTCAGCTTCTATTTTGACGAATTTGGTTCGTATATTTTAAGAATTCAAAGTCGAAATGAAAACTTTGCCGAATCACAAAAGAAATCAAATACACGCTAAATTAATTTGGGAGTGCGAACGCAGTCAGTATAATGCAACTGCTTCACGCACACAACGAGACGACTTTATTCTTTATTCTTTATTCTTTATTAAAAAATGTGGCTTATATGTATACAATGTTATAACATATGATTGTAAACTAATACATTTAACAGCCTTTTAGGCCAATTACAAAACGTATTTTGGCTACTTTATGTTGAACTTTAATGAAAGAAAATAGAAGTTGTGAGAGAGATTGAGCAGTTATATTATGTATAATGTAAAAAGTTAGTTGACAAAGTGTCACTAACTTGTAATTGTTGACACTTATCCTAATGTTAATCTATGCTCACGACTTTGCATACACACAACGTTGATTTGTGTGTATGCATTCATTGTGTGTAAATTGATAGTGTTGTACTATTTTATTTACACTTCCTATTTAGAATAGTTGCATCGATCAACGGATTTTCAATATAGAATACTATTTACTAATGCATTAACAGTCATTTACCTTGAGTTTAAGTCTGCCTTTTTCTATACTAAATGATAATTGTGATTATTGAATTGCATTCATTGCACTTATTTTTTTGAACTTTGCTATAAAACGTGATTATGAATATTGTGGAATGACTTTCGTTATTTTTTTTTTCGACTTATTTCTCATTGCATTCATCAAAAACCATTCCCAAAATTTTTTGCAAATATTCGCCACGCACGCTTATATTCACATAAAAACCGGTTTTCTTGTATTTCAAAAAAGAGATTTTCTCTCATTAAATTAAAATATTTCTTTGTCAAAATGTCAAGTACAAAAACTGATACAAAATATATCGTTCATGAATCAAGTACGTTAAAATTATTCATCTGATTTCTGATTTCTTAAGAAAAAAAGTCAAATCCAGACATGGCACTGGAATTTTTGGCCTTAATACCTGATCTCAGTTGCTACTGGAGTAAGAATGAAAGTGGATTGAGATCAGTGATCCCCAAATAGTCAACCTACAAACAGAGGGTGTGTGAAAATAGCAGCTGAGCGCAGGAAGATGAGCTATTCGAATTGTTCGACAGTATCTCATTAAAATGTCTGTTCAAATCTTTTCTCTAAAGAAAATGTGCACTTTGTTGCTATCATATAATGATACAGCAAAAAAATCCCCAAAGTTAAAAGTCCAAAAAATTGAAAAAAGTCATTTTTTTCAATTCCAAATTCACTTTCTCGTGTTGCCTCTGTTGAAATGTAATTTTCTTGAAATTCCGATACTGTTTCAATGTGTGTGTGTGCGGGGAAGTAATCATATTTTAATATGCAAATTCCGGTAAAATCGGTCACTTGACTGCGAAATGATTTCCTCGTAACAAGTGAAAAATCATTAGTCAAACATGTCATGTTAATGGATAAAATCGGAAATGATTTTTTGATTGCTAATACTCTACGACGCTTAATGTGACCGATTCAAATGAGAAATTCCCAAGAATGATTGGAATGCAATAAATAATAATTTATGTCATATGCTTATGCAATTCGGAATTTGAACTTTGTAAGGATGCGTAATCGATCACGTACAACATGATTTTCATATTTTTCAAATTTCGCAAAAAAAAAGATTGAAAGAAAAAAATCGAATCGATAAGTTAATTATATTAAAACTTCCGTGTGAGATGTTATTTGTTTGTAAAGCGTTGTCATTCAATTTGCAATAGTTGTTTGACAAATAAAATCTAGTTTTACAAAAAACAATTACCGTACATTGTGTAGTAAATACATCGCATGTCATTCGCTTTTGTTTCGGTTTCATTCGTCACAAGTAATGTTTGCTAAATTTGAGATTGGACTTTGTACTTTTAACAAATGATTTATATAAATACACGCGAGTGCTCGAATGAGATTTTCACTAGAAGGGGAAGACGATCGGGAATATCGTCATCAGATGCGTCGAAAATTACCATTTGCGATTTTTTTGGCTTAAAATAAACCATCAACGTATCAACACACCCACAATTTTCAATGGGCCAACGTCAATCGATGTTTTTCGCCAATTGAAAAGAAAAACGACCGAGAAGGGTGAGGGAGGAAAAAAGAGGAATGAGGCAGCGAAGAACGCCATTCTTAAAAGAATGCACAAAAATATTTGTCGTTGAATTATAAATAGAAAAACAACTGGGCCCGCCTAATTTGAGCAAATCGACTGCATGATGCATTTTTCATGAGATATTTTCAAACGAAGACCGTTTCAATTATTGTTGGTGGATTTATTTGAACATTTCAGAAACAACATCGATCTTTTGGAATACCTCACCTTGAATATGCACGTCTTTTGCATGAAATTATTAAAATTGCTGCAATTGTCAAGGATATTGACAAAGAAATTGACCCTTTCAGGAAATTTCTTCCTCTGTTTGACTTTCGTTTGTTATCACTTATAAAATAATTTTGTAATTTGTTTATATTCCAGTTCCGGAATAATAAAATTACACTAACTACACATTATGAATGATAACAATCATTTCGATAGTCACCTGAGCTTATTCACAGAACAATAACGATATGTAATTTGAAATATCAGCGCAAGTAACTTGAGCTGTATTTCAGTCTGGGTTTTTAGTTGTCGTTGCTATTCTCATTGAGCACGTCGTTTACATCTTCTATTTTGTTTTTTTGTTTGTATCTTCATCTCCGTCAATTAAACATTTTTAATTGTTTTTGGTGTTTTTTTTTACAAATTTGTTTTTTGCCACAGTAATTTTCTGTTGATGACTTAACTATTACCATAACATTATTATTATTATATATTGTATGAAGAGTGTGTGTTATTGGCCTTGTTATTTGTTTGAAGACGATTTTAACAATGGTATAAAGTGTAATTCAACTCTTCAGCGGAATTCTCCAAGAAGATCCCGTCTGATGGAGATAAAAATTGCTTGAAATTTCTGGCCGTGATTAAACTCTTTTCAAGTGTATCTCATTTAATTGCAATCTTTATGTGTCTGAACATTATTACATCGATTTAACTGTAGAACAATGCATAAAACACCGAGGTACCTCGTTATTTTCTTTTGCTTGTTTGCATTGTGTTGCTAACCGTGCGGCTCATTTGATTACAATCTTTCACTTTTTTTTCTTGCTTTGAAACCTTTTTTTATCAAACATGCACAAAATTGTTATTTAGCAACAGTGACAAGAATTTTATTTATTTTTATTTTTCTGATTGTATTCATTTTGTGTATTCTTTTTTTCTCTCCCGTTTTTCTTTTGATTTTACAGAGCAACGCTACGGAAAATGTTTCGCTACTCAACGAAATGGATTTCGAATATGGTAAATATCTCAAAGCCCCGAATTAGCAAGCATATTTAATACGCAGCCAAGTTTTTGAGCGAGATAAAGGGAGACTTTGTCAAAAATCATGGCCAAATTAACGATCCCCAAACGGCTGCTATTGCGACAGGCATTTATTTGTATGAAAAACTTTCAAATGAAATGATAATTCAATTTTCCCATATTGCATATAATTGGTTGGATAATATGGATGATTGGGCGAAAAATCATTTTTGTTTACACGATACAATGATCCAAAGTTCAGAAATTTTATAACTGCGCGAAAGAATGTTCAGGTTTAATTCGTATTGATCTGAATGAAGCCGGCCTGTGAACAAGAAAAACAGCCAATTTTGTATAATCATATGCACGAGCCATTTTGACTTGCATATCATTTATTGCAACACCCCAAACTCTAATTTATCTAGAACGCATCGTAAATCAAACTTTGGACTTTTATACAATGCATATTTATGCACTGATCACGCGATACCACTTTGTTTATTGTTTGAAAAACTTAGAAAGACTGAGAGAAAGATAGAGAGAAAAACACTGATTGTCAATTTGCATTCAAGCCCCAATTCAAAACACCACTGTTCGTGTATAAACAACTCGTATAGTCTGTGACGATGCCCAATTGGTGCCCAGAAGTGAAAATTTTTTATGATGAAGTTGCCAAGAATATATTCTTACAAACGACGCCGTGTCGCAGAAAATGTTCAAATTCATATTTGCAAATGCATGAATCAGTTTTTTTTAAATTCGTGTGGTTGCGATGCTTTTGGCGTCTGACGAAGTCATGGCGCTCGTAAGCGATCACTATGTGTATGTATCAATCACTCGCCCAGTACTTCGTACTCACTTGAACTGTTACTATAGCCAGTCGCGATAGTTTATTCGGCGACAGACCTTACAGCTGATCACACCGCTTTTACAGTTTCGGAAAGAAAATATTTTAACCGTCGAATAAAAAAAACGATATAACAAAAGACTTGAATATAAATAATATTGAACTTGTGCTAATTTAGTTTAAAGAAAAAAAGTCGTGTGTAGCGAATTTCTGTTTTTGTTTTCATCGCGAAAAGTTGACCTTTTTCTTTCTTTAAATAAAATTTAGTTTTATTAAACAATTAATACTCAAAATGTGTGTCAAAATGGAATTTTACATAATTTTCAAGCAAACTTGAAATAGTGTTCTTTCGTCGAACTTATTTTTCACACCAAATTCTCAACAGACTTTTTTTAGTGGAAAAGTTAATTTTTTAGAATTTAAGCTATAAACAAAAGACTCAGCCAAAATGTTTTGCCTTCCGTTCGCTTGGTTCGTGGGTGTTTTCGTAAGTTTTTATTTAGTAAAATTTTCTAGTTCGTTTGAGAATCAGTTCTCTCTTAGAAGCTAAGTTCGTACATTGCATATTTTCGAATTCAATGGCGAAGACGACAAAAACTAACTTTTGCAAATCATTTTCAAGATCATATGGTCAACTATAGGAAAAAATTATCCGAAAAATGATTGAAGTTCGCCATTCACCATTTCAACAGCAGAATATATTCGAAACTATTTTTTGTTTTGCAATTTTTAATTTGGAAAAACTCTGGTTTCATTGAAAACGTGTGTGGTTCTTTCTTATGATAAGACGTTCGTTCTCGTTTCCCTTTATAGTTGCAAGGTATACATTCGTACGTCATTGAACATTATTTTGGACATTGTTGGAAATTGTGCACGGTTCATTTGTAAAATGCAATTTGACGTCGATGCGAATCTACACAAAAAGTGTAAATAAATTATCAGTACACGTGCTGCCATGAAGAACGTTTCACTTAATGATCTATAGTTGCATCTTATGCATGTTGCATGCTCACACTATATTGATTGACTGACTGATACATTATGCAGATTGTTGTTTGTAAACAAAAAATCGTTTCCTTTCAATTTACAGTCATACGTAAATTGGATTGCCAGACAATATATTGAACTAACTGGTCAGCTGAGCTGACAGTACGTTAGTCTGGCTAACTTAGCCAGCTAAAATAATAGAAGTGATTGATCATTTAAAACAATAACTTCTATTAGTTCAATATATTGTCTGGATCACTGATACAGACATAAGGACAATAAAAAAAAGAAATGAGAACGGAAAAATAATAGTGAAAAAAACCAAAACAAAAATTGATACAACGAAAAAAAAACACGTACTGAAAAAAATGGAATGAGACAACAAAGTTCATTGAAGTTTGATATAAGCTACAAAATTGATGATAGTTAACAGGGGAATTGTTTGATTTCGGTTCGGTTCTTTGAATGGAATAAACAGTGTTTAAACACGTGGATACTTGCAAGTGAATTGGCTTCCAAAGGAGAAACGATGATTTGCAGCAAATGTCTTTATTAGCTATTGTAATCTTACTATTGAATATCGGGCATATTTCTTAATTATATAATACGGGTCTGAAGTCGACTGTGAAAAAGTTTCCCTTACTAGTGAACGGTCATTGTGTTTTTATGATTGGTAATGTACACTTCGACAAAATAGTGTAGTACAAAATAAATGACCTTTGTTTACACAAAGACATATTTTCTGCTACTTGTCCGCACGAGTAAATTAAATAACATTAATTCCGAAAAATTGGAGTATTAATAACATTGACTTTGGATCATTGATCAAAAATTAATACGTTGAATTCCTTTTCTCCCATTTAATAGTATTCCATTGTTCACTGAACTAGAAAAGAGTTCACATTTTTAAGATGAGGTATTGAATTTTAACGTTATTATTCTTCTAACAACCGAAAATTGTTCGAACGACAAAACTTCGTCACGCTTCAAAGTCAAAATTGAATAAGACACGTGATGTACATAGCACAAAAAGGCTTATTATATGATTGTTCGAATAATATCGCCTCGAACAGACGATAAGACTGCGACCCAGACTCAAATTGAGTAATAATAATTCATTGATTAGCGCTGCATTTTTTGGTTCTATTCATCGTTTTTAACGCAAACACGATTGTTTAGTAGACAATATACCGGGCACGATTTTTTTTTTCATAATGCGATTCGTTCGAAGTTCGAAAATTCTTCGACAGACAAAAAATCTTGAGACAAGAAAACAAACGATGGACTTTGAAAATCGATTCAATTGAACTTTGAGCTGATTTTCATGCGTATAAGAATTGTTCTAAAAATAATGTCATTTGCCTCTCAATCGTGTCGTATCACTTAAACTTGTTTTTGTTATTTTCTCGATATCACGTTCATGTGATGCTTTCGACACACCTTTCACTTGTTACGAATAAATATGAATGTATTTGTGCCTCAGATCATAATACGTCATACACGTTGGCAGTCGGCCAGGTGACAAACTGCGCTTCTTAAGTTTTCTTTGTTGTTTTGTACAATTTCAAAGCGTATTTTTCTCAATATTCGAAACAAATTTTTAATTAAAAAAAAATTTCTTCAAAAATAGAAATCAGGCATACGTTACGCATCGAACGCAATGGGCAAATCAACACCGACGAAATTTGACGCGAATGCAAACATAATGCAAGTGAAACCAATGCGAAAAATGTCAATCCAACAGGAGACAATGTTAACATTGGCTCCAAAGAGGGCACTATCATCCGCACAAGCCATAACTCCATCGAATCCGGATAATTTGCCACATTTACCACTGCCAAAACTTGAAGACACCATGGACAAGTACCTGAAATCGGTTCAACCACTTTTGTCGTCCGAGAAATTCATGAAAACGACGAAAATTGTTGAGGATTTCAAACGTGGAATCGGAGCACAACTTCATGATTTACTTGAGTACAAAGCATCGAAATCCGAAAATTGGCTTGCCGAATGGTGGCTTACCGTGGGCTATCTTTCGTGGCGTTCACCAGTTGTAATTTGGTCAAATCCAGGATTGTATTTACCGACCCGCTTTTTTGAGAATGATTTTCAATGGTGTCGCTTCACAGCCAGATGCATTTGGGCCACACTCAAATACAAACAAATGATCGATTACAATGAAATTCCGACCGAAAAAGCCGGAAAATATCCACTTGATATGAGTCAGTACAAAAAAATCTTTGGCACTTGCCGCATTCCCGCACCAGAAATGGATCGCATTGAATACAATCCAAAGTCGAGGCATATTGTTGTTGCGTTTAAAAATGGTGTACGTTTTTTTTAATTTTAGAGTAAGCAAGTTCCTTGAATTTTATTCATTGAATTCATTTCATCTTTTTACAGTTCTATAAAGTGCCTGTATATGAAGATTCATCTGATAAATTCTTGTCGGAAAATCAGTTGACCGAACAATTGTTGCAGATTTTAAAAGACAGTGGCCACAATGAACAAATTGGCATTATTACAACTGAACATCGTGACACACTTGCTGCTGCTTATGAGAATTTAATACAAGGTACGTTGTTTTCTATTAAAAATTTCGATTTGAACAATCATTTAAATCGAAACTTACGAAGTCTCCAACTGAACCAAAATCTTCCGTTAAAAGTCACTAAAATATGACTCTATTTTACAGACGCAGTCAATAAAGCATCGGTAGATGCCATTACAAAATCATTGTTTGTTGTGTGTTTGGATCAGCCAATTTCGGTGTCAGATCCAAATGATGATTTCAATATGGCTGGATCGCAACTGATTCATGGTGGTGGTTCAAAACAAAATTCTGGTAATCGTTGGTTCAATAAAACATTACAGCTTATCGTGAACCGTAATGGAATCAACGGCATCAATTACGAACATTCCCCGGCTGAAGGTGAGCTTTTATCTTCGTTGGGCCCATGTGTAGTTCATTGAAATTTCACGTCTTTCTCTTGCTATTTTTATTTAAATAGGCCAACCGATTGCTGTGTTAACAGACTTTGTTCTCAAGCACTTGTAAGTATTCAATTGCAACCGAATGTTCTCAATAGATCGAATTAACTTCGATTTGAGTGAAATTATTCAAATAGCTCATATTCAATTTTCTTTTTCGAATAGGAAAGCGGAACCGAGTGAAAATGAAATTATAAATGCACACAGTTATCCGCATCCAACCAAATTACCATTTAATGTATCGGAAAAAACACAGAAAGACATAAAAATTGCTGCTGAAAATATTGATAAGTAAGTTTTCACTCAAACATTTGATAGTCGCTTCGTACAAGCGCACCATCTGTTGACATTTACAAGAGATAATGTCAAACGCTGGAATATATTGGAAAATGAGATTTTGACACATGTGTATTCAAATCGTTGTCAAACCATTCCAAGTGGTAAACGGTTCGCGTAACTAAAAAGTGATCATTTTTTGCATTTTTTATCTTCGAAAAATAACTTTAAATTCTAAGTTTTTCGTTTCAATTGTTACTGTTGTGCAAGTGTATATCGAATAAAATGTCGACATCATCCAAATTAGACGATATAATGAAGCGTTTGTCGAACAATGCAAAAAAATTGGACGAATCAACCAAAACTATCGCAAGCGCAACAACAAGAGTTACTTACGAACTGGCAAAAAGCCAATCGTTAAGTGAAAAATACAATGTCCCATTGGAAAAGTACGAGCAAATCATCGATTTTACACAAAGCATTGTGGACATTTGCTCGAATTATATGCCAGCAGAATCGTCGAATACGGAATATAGTGCTGGTGCGGACGCAATTCAATTCGAACAATTTGAAGCGAAGGCAATTCAGCAATTGGACAAAAATGAAAAAGAAATCGTTAAACTGCAATCACTTCGAGATGTCATTAAACAAGTGGTGGAACAATGATTTTTATTTATGCCAGTCGAAATCTCCATATCCAATTACCAATAACAGCGATAAGACATATAGAAAATTAGGGTTAAGTTAAGGCTGTATGTAAACTTAACCAAATTAATGTGAAAATGTCTAATTTTTTGGGATTTTTGTTCGTTTTTCAATTTCAGAGCTTCAGCAAATCTCGAATTAAATGTTGTACATTTCAAAACGTATGGTAAAAACTTCATTAAATCACAGCGAATGAGTCCGGATAGTTTTATTCAAATGGCAATGCAATATGCTTTTTACAAGTAAGTTTGACTAAATGCTGTAGCATTTTCATTAATGAGATTTTGCGTTGAATTGGATATTAATGAATTGTTTGCTTGCACAGATTACACGGTGAACCGGGTGCCCATTATGAAACAGCTCAGGTGCGAATGTTCATCCATGGTCGAACTGAAACTATTCGTTCGTGTTCAGTTGAATCAGTGGCCTTTGCCGAAGCAATGTGTGATCAACACGTAAGCGATCCGGAAAAGGTTCAACTGCTTCGGGCCGCTGTACAAGCGCATAAAAATTACACTGTGATGGCATCGTCTGGAGAGGGAATTGATCGACATTTGCTTGGACTAAAATTAATTGCACGCGAAAAGAATTTTCCCATTCCCGAATTGTATAGTGACGAAGCGTATGTGAAGAGCACCAGTTTTCGTATTTCAACTAGTCAGGTCGCATCGAATGCCAAGTCATTCATGTGCTATGGTCCAGCCGTTGATGATGGCTATGGCATTTGCTATAATCCACGCAACGATGACATGATTTTAGCTGTGTCAGCCTTCAATTCAAATTCATCAACCAGTGCCAAGGCAATGGGTCAACATTTGAGCGATGCCTTTGAACATATGCACCGCTTACTATCTAAGGCTGGTGAACGTAGATTAAGCAAATTGTGATATCATTACAAAAGATTTTCTCGAACGATTATTATTATAAACAATCCATGGAAACAGTGTTTTTACTGCAACGTTTTGTCATTGCTATTTTTTTAAAAAAACATATCGAATAATTATTTATAGGAAAAGTATTTTACCATGAAAGATGGAGATTTTTGGTTGCTTTGTCTTTGCAATCCTCAAGCACAACAGACACACATTAAATATATATATTTGTAGACAAAAAATAGAAATTGATAAAAACATTTAATAAAGAGATAAGTGACTTTTAAATCGATGCTTTTTTTATATGAAAATGATGGAAGATTTGTGGATTTGAAGACGCATACTAAGTTGTACCGAAAATCTAAAACTTTCCATCGCAAGAACATCGGTTCATTGTATCAAATTACAATTTTCCATAATTACTTTGTGTGCATTTTTTTCTATTTAAAATGATATGGAAGCATCGTCTGCAATTACATTGCTGATAGCTGACCAATAATAATAACAATTGAATCAACACAGCTGATTAAAACACCCTTCAATTGACATAATCGCATGGCATGTGTTTTCCAGATTGCGGGGCGGCTATAATAAATTAATTAA